GACGCGTCTCAACACACACACACACACACACACACACACACTCTCGTACCTGACACAGGTGAGATGGACAGCAGGATGACCACGGCTGACGCTCCTCTCCACGCCATCATTATCCCTCCGTCTGTTTGTCTGTCTGTCGTCTGATGGGCCGCAGGTTCGAGACGAACGAGTGTGTGTGTGACACTTCAGTGAAGATCGAGATCTGCTCTGTGACAGGAAGTGGCTCCTCGAGCTCCACCTGTACATACAGACACGACCCACCTACTGAAACACTGACGACACACACACACACCCTCCCACACACACACACTCACGCACGCGCACGCACACACTCACACACTCGCACGCACACGCACTCACACACACACTCACGCACGCGCACGCACACACTCACACACTCGCACGCACACGCACTCACACACACACTCACGCACGCGCACGCACACACTCACACACTCGCACGCACACGCACTCACACACACACTCACGCACGCGCACGCACACACTCACACACTCGCACGCACACGCACTCACACACACACTCACGCACGCGCACGCACACACTCACACACTCGCACGCACACGCACTCACACACACACTCACGCACGCGCACGCACACACTCACACACTCGCACGCACACGCACTCACACACACACTCACGCACGCGCACGCACACACTCACACACTCGCACGCACACGCACTCACACACACACTCACGCACGCGCACGCACACACTCACACACTCGCACGCACACGCACTCACACACACACTCACGCACGCGCACGCACACACTCACACACTCGCACGCACACGCACTCACACACACACTCACGCACGCGCACGCACACACTCACACACTCGCACGCACACGCACTCACACGCGCGCGCGGCCTACTCATTCTCAGAGAAAGATTTGAGTGATTAACAGAACGAGAGACGAACAATCCAATCAAAGATCAGCTCTTTATTTCACTGCATCACGACAAAAAAATCCTTATTAAAAATACATATCAGCGTTAGAAAAATAATCACTCTGAGTAAATATCATTTGACTGGCGTCTGTGTGATTTTATAGGGCTGGAAGACGTCAGATGAGCTACAATTACAGATCAACTGTAAAATACAAGCAAAATGAGCAAAAACTTCACATCAATACACTGTCATTTTTGTCACACAATTTTTTCATTACTGTATGGGGTAGGTTTAGGGTTGGGAGAGATGTAGACATTAATAAAACACAATCTAATATGTAGAAAATGAAATTTCATTGATTGTTTCCGGTCGGAGCTGTATCACTTCTAGCCACAACCCAAAAACTTCACATTTCCTGCTACAGGGGTCAGAGGTCAAAGGTTAGGGGCAAGGACACCAAATTGAACATCTATGAGTGACACGCGTGAATCTCACGAGGCTTTCTTAAGATTTCAATCTGCATTTGGTGCGAATCTGTGAAGGGCTTGTGCAAACTGCAAAAATCATTCGGAATTTACACATCATGCTGCATTAATGTTCTGGAGAAATTAACAACATGTGATTAATACACACACACACACACGCACACACACACACCATCAACCCGAGAAACATTCATAAATCCGAGTCTCTTCTGAAACACTCCATCAGTGATTCTGATCCGGTTCACCAGGATTACAGCGTGTCACTTCCTGTAGAAACACACACACACACACACACACACACACTGAGGTCACGTGACGTTCAGCACTGCGTCTGCTTCTGACTGATAACAGCTGCGCTCAGAGCTCATATGAACAGTATATTCAGAACTATATTGCTGGTAATGTAAGACTCAGAAGACGATAACTGGATGTGTTTCTGGACTGTTTCAGTGAATCAATTCAAAACTCTGATTCAGTGAATTGTTCACTCAGAAATGTCCAGTCTGCCCACTCTACTTCAAATGATTTATCAAAAAAAAAAAGGTTTTGAGTTTTTTCACTCAAAAACTGAATATTACCAAAATTCTCTTGAAATAATGCTTTTTTCATTAAAAAACTGAATATGACCAAAATTATCCACAAATAATGCTTTTTCATAAAAAAACTGAATATTACCAAAATTTATTCATAAATAATGCTTTTTTCACTGAAAAACTGAGATGCATGAGCTCAAATCAATGCAGCCTTCAATTAATCAGCTCCAAAAACAAACACAAAACCTGTGCTGATTGAAAGAAAACAAACTGATAAAAAATGAATCCAATATTTGGTGATAATATGAGAGATTTGTAAGGCCAGGAACACCAAATGAGCTAAAGGATTTTCAGTACAGCATAGGAGTTAAATGATTTCAGAGCAAATATATAAAGTGAGTTTAGTGCTGATTCACACTGACTGAATGGAACGGAGTCATATAAGTGAATCATCTAAGTGAAGCTCGATCACGTCTGCCGGACTCACCGCTGTGTTTCCGGTACGGAGTGGCTCGGTAATACTCCTCCGGCGTGACGGTTTTCACTCCGCCGAAGTAATCGAGCACCCAGACCTGTGTGATGTTCATCTTGGCGAAGAACCAGTTGTGGTCGGTGGGCCAGTCGATCATCTCTGGGTGTCTACTGAACAGAGCGGCTTTAGCCACCGATGCCTCACTGCCGTTCACCTGAAACAGATTCACGTCACACCGTCACTGATTCAGTCACACCGTCACTGATTCACACCATCACTGATTCACACCATCACTGATTCACACCGATTCAGCATCACACCATCACTGATTCACACCGATTCGCCATCACACCATCACTGATTCACAGCGATTCACCGTCATACCATCACTGATTCACAGCGTCGCTGATTCACACCAATTCAGCGTCACACCATCACTGATTTACACCGTCACTGATTCACACTGATTCACAGTCACTGATTCACACTGATTCAGCGTCACACCATCACTGATTCACACGATTCACAGTCACACCGTCACTGATTCATCATCACACCATCACTGATTCACACCGATTCACAGTCACACCATCACTGATTCACACCGATTCAGCGTCAAACCGTCACTGATTCACACCAACTCAGCGTCACACCATCACTGATTCACAATCACACCGTCACTGATTCACAGCGATTCACTGTCACACCATTACTGATTCACACGTCACTGATTCACACCGATTCAGCGTCACACCGTCACTGATTCACACCGATTCAGTGTCACACTGTCACTGATTCACACCATCACTGATTTACACTGATTCAGCATCATACCGTCACTGATTCACACCGATTCAGCGTCACACCGTCACTGATTCACACCATCACTGATTCACACCGATTCACCATCATACTGTCACTGATTCACACCGATTCAGCATCACACCGTCACTGATTCACACCGATTCAGCGTCACACCGTCACTGATTCACACCGATTCAGCATCACACGTCACTGATTTACACCGATTCAGCATCACTGATTCACACCGATTCAGCATCACACCGTCACTGATTTACACCGATTCAGCGTCACTGATTCACACCGATTCAGCATCACACCGTCACTGATTCACACCATCACTGATTTACACCGATTCAGCATCATACCGTCACTGATTCACACCGATTCAGCGTCACACCATTACTGATTCACACCGATTCAGCGTCACACCATTACTGATTCACACCGATTCAGCGTCACACCATTACTGATTCACACCGATTCAGTGTCACACCGTCACTGATTCACACCGATTCACACCGCACGAGAAGGGTGCTGTACCTCAACCATGGAGCCCGACAGGATGATGTGGGCGCACAGTGGACTCTGAGGATCGAATCCGTGATTCTTACAGTAGCTGGTCTGAGCCAGAGACACGGACAGAGACGACTGGGGATTCACCTGTCACACACACACACACACAGATCAGATCATGTCGTCTGCAGTGTGTGTTCATGTTTTTAACTTCAGCCACTTAGTTCTGCTGAATGTTGATAAAGACAAATCGCTGCGTCACGTCCTGACAGTCATGTGCTGAATCACACTTACATAATAAAACCACATCAGGGTTACATAGTCATAAAAACAAAAAAATAAATAAAAAAATTAAAATAACATGATATTTAAAAAGTAAAGTAAAAGTAAAAAAATAACTTTTTAATTAATTGTTTTCTCTCACACACACACACACACAAACATATATATATATATATATAATATGATTTCATGCCAGTTTATGTTTTATTGCATTTTATCTATTTATTTCATATTTTACATTTTTTCTTTCATTTTTTTTTTTTACAATTAATATAATTTTTATTACACTGCATCCATTTGTGTTTTATCTATTTTTACATTTGAGATTTTGGTCTATTTTGCTATCATATCATGTCTTCTTTCAGACTAGTAGAAAGAAAACATCCAAAATACACACATATATATATATATATATTTCCTATAATATATATGAAAAAACAATTTATGGAGCAAATTAGTAGAACAAAATTTCACATATATACATATATATATGTGTGTGTGTGTTGTTATATTTTGCTCCATAATTTGTCTTTTTTCAGACTAGAGGAAAGGAAACATCAAAGACACACAATGAAGTGTTGATTTTATTTCAGTTGATTTATGGAGCATCAACTGAATCCTAAATCCCCTCTGGAAAAACCTTGAACTCTAATATGACAACAAAATCAAACAAAAAATGTGAAAAAATGTGTTGTATTTATGTGCTGGAAATGCATGCACATTAGTGTTGCTACAGTAAAAGCATGGTAAATGTTCGTTAGGGTGTATGATTGATCAGCACTGATCCGCACCTGCAGGTCCTGCACCGAGATCTCCAGGTGTGTGAGGTACAGGTACGGGGTTCCGGTTCCGTTCCCCGCGGGCCCGTCGCTGATGGAGAAGGCGTTGGAGAACGGCTGTCCTCGGACCGGATCGTGAGTGGAGATCGTGGCCATCGAAGCCCAGTCGCACTTATTGACCACGAACCGGGCCATCCGAGCCACCTCCTCATGCGGCGGAACCGACAGAGAGCCACCGAGAGCGGCGACGAGCGCGACACACACCGCCAGCAGCGAGCGATCCTTCCTCCTCATCATCATCATCATCACTGAACCAAACCAGCCACCGATCACCGTAAACAACCGAGCACAAACGACTCTGATCACAGAGGCATAACTGATCACTGACTGAACACTGAACACAAATGATTCACATGAGTCGACTCCTGACACCACTGAATCAAATGAGCACAGAGTCACTGATCACTGACTGAACACAAATGATTCACATGAGTCGACTCCTGACACCACTGAATCAAATGAGCACAGAGTCACTGATCACTGACTGAACACAAATGATTCACATGAGTCGACTCCTGACACCACTGAATCAAATGAGCACAGAGTCACTGATCACTGACTGAACACAAATGATTCACATGATCACAGAGTCATGAATCAATGATTCATAAGATCTCACTGACCACGATTCATTTGATCACACGAACGCCACAACAAATGGTCACATGATCAAAACAGCTGTCATGTGACTTCAACACGTGTCTACAGAAGACTCCAAGCCACAAACAAGTTACTAAACCAACAAACACATTCGTTCAGTTATTAATAGATCTCAGATTTCTTTACCTGCTTGTGTGAGTTTCTCGAATAACATATTTAGTGATACAGAGTGGGAAGATTTTTGGCTTCTTTGACAAAAATTCTGCTTATCTAATAAAGTTGTTGAAGGAGACTAATAATATTAAAATTATCCATAATTGTTAAAAAAGAAAAAAGTATATCCAAACTTGTGAATAACTCCCAAAAATGTGTTTTTTTGTTGTTGTTGTTGTTGGTTGCTCTTTGAATCTAGACCCTTCTCACTTTAAATTCATTATCAGTTTATTGCTATTTCTTGCCAAATTTCACATTCATAAATGTACATTTTCAAAGAAAACTTCCTTTTTGTTTTCAGGAAACTTTTTGATGTGTATGTAAACTCTAATAATTCTATTGCATGTAAGACTCTTTCATGGTGTGATTCTTATAAGCTAACACAGTACGCTTTGATTTATTAATGCATGTAACCCTCGATGTCTTTTGTTCTTATTCTGTCTTTGCATTTGTTTTGATGTTCTTTTGTTGCATAAAAAAACGTTACTAAATCTTGAAACGAATACACTGTTTCACGTTCTATTCATATTTTAATGACTTCCTAAAACTACTCAATATTAAAGTACAGTGCATTATAGACACGATTTTCTGTAAAGCGTCTTTGAAATTTGTTTTGTGAAAAGCAATATGCAAATAACTTCCTGCCTGCATCAAATTCAATATACTGAAACTGATAAATATTATATTATCTTCATTTGACCCTCTAAATCTAGCACTATTCTAATTCTATTTGACATATTTGTTTTCTTTTTATTCATAAAAAACACTTACACTCTAACACTTGCACTCTCTGTTCTACTTCTATTCTACTTGTTTTCTTTTTATTTATTATATTTAGAAAACCCTTGTCACAGCACTTATATATTACTGCTCTTTTGTAAATTCTGATTGCTTCTGTTGTCCTCATTTGTAAGTCACTTTGGATAAAAGCAGCTGCTAAATGGCTAAATGTAAATGTCAATTATAATAAACATTTAAATATCACCTAATAATATAAACAAGCTTATAAGCAAATAGCTGCCTTTTAAAACTACTTTATTTCTTAAATACAGAAGTCAACATTTGATGTGGATCAAAAAAGTTCATCAAAGTTGTACTAAGAACATTTTGGTTTTAGGACAACTTTGATGAAAGCTTTTGATCCACTAATTCAAAAAAAAAAATGAAGTGTTGAAATGCGCTCATTGAGACTCACTCTAATTGATCAATCACGAAATAATCGATTCAAACAGCTGATTGGCCACCAGCTCATTTGCACAGGTGAGGTTCAGTTAAGCTCAGTATAAAACACAAGAATCTTAACTACTAGTTAAACAACTTTGCTGCTGTTCTTTGTTTGGCAGGTGTCGTAATCAGGTAAGTTTAAGTTGTTTTAATGTAAGCTTCAACTTTTGACTACCCTACTTAAATCAGATTTTACATTTGTAGATAATTATGTGGCTTTTTACGGTAGTTAACATTTGAAATAGATCAAAACCTTTCAAATTTGTTCTAAAACCAAAACAATAACAATCTTGACTTAGGACAACTTTAAACTTATTTTTTTGATCCACTTCAGATGTTGATTACTGAAAGGTTGTAATCACTACTTGTCATCGCGGCGTCCCGAGTTCGAACCCCAACTTCAGTCTTTAAAAAGAAAAGTAGCTACTTTATTCATTTGCAGTTGTACTAATTTCTAAATCTGTTTTTGACTCTTCAGGTACTTGATCAGACTGTCTTCTGCCAGTTGTGCAGCTGCATCGATCACTGTGCTGTTCTGGTTTTATTTACTTGTTTAAATTCTTTAACTTTCTAAATTTCATTTTGTCCGCCTCTAGAGCGGTTCATCGCATCATGTCTGGCCGCGGTAAGAAGCTGGTCGCTGCGCCGAAGAGCAAGTCCTCTGTGTCGCGTTCGACGCGCGCGGGGCTGCAGTTCCCCGTCGGTCGCGTCGCGCGTCTCCTGCGCAAGGGGAACTACGCGTCGCGCATCGGCTCCGGGGCGGCGGTGTACCTGACGGCGGTCATCGAGTATCTGTGCGCGGAGGTGCTGGAGCTGGCGGGCAACGCGAGCCGCGATAATAAGAAGCTGCGCATCGCGCCGCGGCACATCCAGCTAGCGGTGCGCAACGACGAGGAGCTGAACGCGCTGCTGGGCGGCGTCACGATCGCGGAGGGCGGCGTGCTTCCCAACATTCAGGCGCAGCTTCTGCCCAAGAAGACCAAAGCCCCGCGGGACACCGCCAACTCCAGCAAAGACGTCCAGTCCCAGGACTTCTGAAGCGCGGACTCCGTTTTAAGCACTTGACTGTTGATGGGTTTTAACTTTAATAAATCTGGTTTTCTTACGTCTGCCTGGTTTTGGTCTGAGCTTCATCAGAAGTTCCACTCTGCTGGGAAGACAATAGACGCATCACAATCTGTACTGGTTATAATGGGACTTGTATTGGTTTTAATGGACCTTGTGGGTCTCTACTGGTGACTGGTCATCTTCTGTTGGTGGATTGTTAAAAAAAAAAAAAAAACATGAATCCAAATGGAATGTCCCAAAACACTACAGAAGGCCTACATGTATATTATTTTTAAGCAGGGCACAGGTTTCTGAAGTCCCACATTAAGCCTGAACTGGCCTCATCTTGGTCTCGTTTGTGGCTTTTAGGTCCTTTTATGCTTGAGGCCTTCAAAGATTAACTCGGAGCAGAGTCTCGGTGCTCAAGCTTGTGACACTTTCAACAGAACTTATTTGCTTTTAAGAACCCTTGTCTTAACATGTTAAACACTGAAGCTCGATTAAATCTATTTTTGTAATCAATGTTATCTGTGTACTCCAATATACTGTGACGTACCAAGAACTTTTATTTTGTATGTTAAAGTCGGCTAAAAGCAAATATGGATAGCCTAGAGCTCAAAGCTAGATTTAGGCTGTGTTAAGGAGTTAGTGTTTGAGCTTCATCAGAAGTTCTGCAGGCTTCTGAAGTCTAAACTGGCCTCATCTTGGCCTCGTCTGTGGCTTTTATGCTTGTGGCCTTCAAAGATGAACTCAAGCTTGTGAAACTTTCAAAAGAACTTGCGTTTAAGAATACTTGAACCCTCATCTTAATGTTAAACACAGAAGCTCAGAAAAATATATTTCAGCAATAAACTTCCAACGTTTGTATACCAAAATATACTTCAAAGTGTGTTTTGTATCAATGTATAGGCTAAAAGCAAATATGGAGTCTAGCTCAAAAGTAGATTTATAATCTGTTTAATTTACTTATTTTTGGAAAATTGTGAAGCATGTTCCTAGTTGAGTTATATTCAGTTTTTTCTTCCCAAAATGTGATGTGAACATTTTGTTGGATATATATATATATATATATATAGGGTAAAATATTAAATTTTAAATGCTTTTAAAATTTAATTTATTTATTTACAAAAAAACTCATCTCCACACTTCATCTTGTGTCTCTTCAGATGAACGCAGTCGTTCTCAACCAGTGGGACTCAAAACGAGACGAAACTAGTATTAAAAACTTCATGTCCAGATATTTCTAATTTACTCCATCAGCTCTTTTATTGAAGAAGCAGGATTCTCAGTCTTAGAAAACATGGACAAACAGATGAGTTTAAAAGTGATTTTTACACCTGGAAAAGTCATACAAAATAAACAAAAACCTTTAAATGCCATGGCCATTTGTATAAAGAGCACGATTCTATAAAGAGCTTGAAATATTTTATTTATCAGGCAAAATTGTGAATAAAAGTTCCCAAACATTTAACATTGTAATTTTAATGAGGAAGCAGAGGACCGTCTCTGGAGCTTCAGCGCCGTCTCAATCAGACAAGCGTCACATGCTCCAGCTCAGTTCAGTTCCCGCTTTAACAGACCTGAGAAACCAAGCAGACATGAACAGAGTTTGTTTCTGAGCTCCTGCGCTTCACTCTTATGCCGAGTTCTCACCGCACGATTTTCTAAGACATCGCATCACTGTTTTCACACTGCGTGACTATCTGGGGTAGCATTCAGTTGCTGCTGTGTTCACATTGCAGGATGGAACGAGACAGCAGGTTACACACTGCGTGACTACACAATAGTAAGAATCGCCGACAGCTCTGTCTGGTGCAGGGTTGCCAGGTTTTCGCTACAAAACCCGCCCAATTACTACTCAAAACTAGCCAGAAAATAGCCCAATTGCTTTCGAGGGGGTCCCCCAGTAAAAACCGCATTTGGGGGTAAAATACACATTTTTTTGGCGGGGTTCTCCTGGTACAATTCACATTCCAGTGCCTAAATATCACGTTATTGGGGTCGCTTCAACCTGTTGACATGAAAAACAACCGGCGGCAATCGCGGATTTAGTAACACTACTGTTCATATAACTCCTCCCCAAACTTCCCGCTGCCCTGTATCTTGTCTCTCATTGGCTGTAGGTCATTGTGTTTTTCAGTCAGAACTCATTTCACACAGCGTGATTGTGAATCGCTGATTCCCTCAGATCGCGTCTTTGATAATTCACACTGTGTGATTGTCACTCGCGTGAACGAGCACCGATTTGCCTCCGATGTCGGGCATTTGTCGGCGATTTCGCAAAACCTGTCGGCGAGTGAAAAATCGGGCTAAAATCGTGCAGTGTGAACTCGGCATTAGTGTGATTCTGAACCATCCTCACCTGCTGGTGAAGAAGGCGACGAGCGGGAACTGTGGGTCGTGTGTGTCAGTGAAGACGTTCTGGAGGAAGAGGTTCGGCTCACAGCTGTGCTGCAGGTCAGTCAATCAATCAATCAAACAAAATTATATTTTTATGATTTTAGTTTTGGTTAACAATAATATCACTGATTTATAAATATATGTGACCCTGGAGCACAAACCCAGTCATAAGGGTCAATTTTTTGAAATTGAGATTTATGCATCATCTGAAAGCTGAATAAATAAGCTTTCCATTGATGTATGGTTTGTTAGGATAGAACAATATTTGAAAATCTGGAATCTGAGGGTGCAAAAAAACCTAAATATTGAGAAATAGCCTAATGATTTTTGGCATAAAAGGGAAATGTGTAATTGTGAGCCATACAATGTATTGTTGGCTATTGCTACAAATATACCCCAGCGACTTAACACTGCTTTTGTGCTGCAGAGACACATATATATATATGAGTGTGCAATGCTTTCTGGGTAACGTCTGCTGACACTCACGTTGAAGAATCGGGCCACGTTTCCCTCTTTCGAGGCGTCCAGGTAATACATCTGCTCTGGTGTGTGTTTGTGCTGCGGCTGTGATCGACCGTTTGATTCGCTCAGTCTGGGCTTCTTACTCACGATCTCCTCACACGCTTCGCTCCCTACAAACACACACAGAATCACACACACACACACCGTCCCGATCTGGATGTGTTCACTGTGATCGTACCGTTCTGACTGCAGTCCAGCGACGAGACGCCGAGCTGCTGCTGATCCTGAAACACAGCAGAAAACACTGTTTTCTATTTTAGTCTTAGTCCCGTGTTAAACGTCCTTGCTAGTCTTTATCATATTTAGTCAACCTTATCTTATTTTGTTTTAGTCAAGTTTTAGTCGACCAGGGGGCGGTTTCACGAGCAGGGCTTAAGACTAGTTTAGAACGGTCTAAACTGAAAACATAACTTAAAATACATCGGTGCCATTGTTTGGTCTTAAAATGCACACAAGTAATGCTTTTTTGTAAGGCATGTTTGTAAAAACTACTTAAATGTCCTAATTTAACAAAGGCCTAGTCCTGGTTTAATCTAAGCCCTGTCTGGGAAACCACCGCTAAAACCCTCAGCATTTTAGTCTAGTTTTAATCAATGAAATCTTAGTCACATGCTGTATAATGGTCAAGCTGATAAAAATTCTCTTTGCTAAAATTATAATCGTAATGATTGTTGTCATTTGAGAAATTTACTTTTGCATTTCAGGTATTGCACTTTCACAAATAAACACAAATCAACAGAATGTGGACTCATACACATGGTTTATTTACCTCATCTAGTGTACTGATTTATTATAGGCTTTTTATTATATAAATTAATACTAAAGACTTATGCACTCTCTCTGTCTACATTATGAAAACTGGTAAAACAAACAAAAATATTATAACAGTGAAATTACTAGTAATTCCACTAATTCAAAATTGCAATTTCCTGTTTCTCTATTAAAACAACAGCGGCTGAGTAAGTGCATTTATTCAGAAACCACAATCGCAAACAATACAGTCGAGATCTCATGACAGAACACAGACGCTTTCATTTAGATCGCTAAACTCCAGCGCGTTTGTCGCCGTTTTCAGATCATGGTTGCCAGATTGCAGAAAATAAACAAAGCACCGAGCAGAAAATGTATCAATGTAACAGCGAAGCTCTGATTCTGGGATTAGAACTCTTGATATCTGGCAACCGCACTCATGAGGCGTGTAGAGCAGTCCGCAATAACATTGTCTTTTTTTTTTTTTATGAAATTATTTTTTGTTTACATTTTAGTCTCGTCTTTTATTGTCAACCAAAACTGCTTGTTGATATAGTCACAGTTATTATTTATTGACCTTATTGTCATCTCGTCATCGTCTCATTTCAACTCATCAACAAACATTTTTCATAATAGTTTTCGTAAATGAAATGAACTCTAGTGGGGACGGGAGACTCCACCTGAGCACCAGGTCAAAGGTCACCTGCACTGACCTTGAGCTGAGCGAGTGGACTCTGGATCACAGGCACGTACAGCGGCGGAGAGCAGTCCAGCGGCTCAGTGACTGTCTCCATCGGTCCGGCGGGCAGCGTCCACTCCTCCACCACCTCCACCTCATCATCAGACACCAGCGGCTCTCGCTCCGCCGGCTCCTCCATGCTCTGCTGCTGCCGGAGAACCACGCCTGCGCGCGAGAGAACCGCATCAGCACTGAGACCAATCAGACCAGACCACTTCATCTGGACAAACTGATGCCAAATCTTAGAATCACTGAGATACTATTATAATTTTTGTTCATATTTTTAATTAATTTGTTTATTAAAATTATTAGTTTAAGATGTCTATATATATATATATATATATATTAAACTAAGTTTTAACTTTATTTTGTTTTAGTTATTTTAGTACTTTTAAACTAAAACTAAACAAAAGTGAGAAATGTGGCCTTGGCAACTAGCTAAAGATGAGCTGAAGTTTTTTTATATGTGACCCTGGACCTCAAAACCAGTCATAAGTATCTGAATAAATAAGCTTTCCATTGATGTATGGTTTGTTAGGATAGGACAATATTTGAAAATCTGGAATCTGAGGGTGCAGAAAAATCTAAATATTGAGAAAATCATCTTTAAAGTTGTTCAAATGAAGTTCTTAGCAATGCATATTACTAATCAAAAATTAAGTTTTAATATATTTACGGTAGGAAACAAACAAAATATCTTCATGGAACATGATCTTTACTTAATATCCTAATGATTTTTGGCATAAAAGAAAAATGTATAATTTTGACCCATACAATGTGTTGTTGGCTATTGCTACAAATATACCCCAGCGACTTAACACTGCTTTTGTGCTGCAGCGACACATATTTGGCTTTATTTCAGTTAATATTCATTTTATTTCAAGTAATGCAAATGTTTTGCATGGTTTTCGTTTTAGTTAACGACAACAACCCTGATTTATAATGAAAATGTTTTTAGTTTTAGTAAATACGGACGCATGTTTCCATCACAGAATAAAAAAAATTAAAAATGTAATTGCGATTATCTCACAATCCTTACTTTTTTCTTGCAGTTCTGAGAGATTCGGAGTCAGATTTGCAAGCTATAAATTGTGATATAAAAAACTTGCAATTGTGAGAAGAAGAAAAAAAGTCAGAATTGTGAGATTTTTTATTTTGTATTCTGTGGCAAGAAAACAGAACCGCAAGATATAAACTCAGAATTCTTTTATTTAAAAAAAAAAAAGAGATAAAATCGTGAGATATTTACTTTTTAATTTTTTTTTATTTTGTAGCAGAAACTAGCTTTCATAACTTAATGATAATAACCCTGATTTATATTTGAAGTAATGATAAAGTTTATTTTCTGATTTAATGATAACTCTGATTTATATTTTATTTTAGTTTAAGTAATGAAAACGTTTTATTTTGGTTTTCGTGTAAGTTTATGAGGAGCACACGGCGTCTGTGTACCTGCGTAAATACAGACGAAGGTTCCCTTGTCGAGGTCATCTCTGCAGCGAACGGCCCAGCCGCGGTCCGGCGTACGAAACACCTGCAGCCGCACGCGCAAACCCTTCTGCACCACACGGTTCTGACAGCGGCTCCTCGCACAGCCGCACCACGGGCCACACTCGAACAACCTGACCGATCATGCAACAGATCACGTGACAGATCAACAAATAACATGACAGGTCAACAGATCACACAACAGATCACACAACAGGTCACACAACAGGTGCATTCGACTTGAAGCGGCACTGTGCAGAATGATCAGTGTATAACATCAAGTACCGCGAGAGCGATAAGAGAGCAGATGGATCCTTATGCTTTCGAATCGCTCTTGCGGTACTTGATGTCATACACTGATCATTCTGCGCAGCGCCGCTTCAAGTCGAATGCGCCTAACATCACATGACAAGTCACATGACTGATCTCATGACTGATCACGTGAAATATCATTACAAATCACGTGAAAGATCACATGACAAATCACATGACAGATCAACAAATCACATGACAGATCACATGACAAATCACGTGAAATATCACATGACAAATCCTGTGAAAGATCACATGACAAATCACATGACAGATCAACAAATCACATGACAGATCACATGACAAATCACGTGAAATATCACATGACAAATCCTGTGAAAGATCACATGACAAATCACATGTTACACCAACAAATCACATGACAGGTCAACAAATCACATGACAAATCACGTGAAATATCACATAACAAATCACAGGCAAGTTCAAGCTCAAACCGGTGCGCACCGTTTTGCTACGGTTTCCGGTTTGACATGTTAGACCAACAAATCGCAACAAATCACATCACATGACAGGTCAACAAATCACATGACAAATCACGTGAAAGATCACATGACAAATCACATGTTATACCAACAAATCACACGACAGGTCAACAAATCACAACAGATCACATGACAAATCACATCACATGACAGATCACAAGCTCATCTCGACTCACCCTGCGCTCAGGGGCGCGCTCAGCCGCTGGTGTCTGTACGCTTGCTGCTCTCCCGCGCCTCCGAGCGTCTGCTGAACACATGCGCAGCTCCGTGCGTCTGCGCAGCCGTCGGTGCAGTCGCAGCACACTGAGAAGAGCGGCGCGGCGCTGAGGAAGCAGCCGTGTGGCCAGCGCTCTTTACGGTAGCGGAACTCTTTGGGCCGCGTCCCGTCCAGCTCGTTGAACAGAGAAACGGGAACCGGCTCGATCCCGCGGCTAAGGTCGCGCTCTAACAGCAGCGCAGCCGAGGCCGGAGCTCGCGCACGATTCTCTGGAACAATCTGTGGGTGGAAACTGAAGTTGTCCGGCTGCAGCACGCCGAGGCTCTCTGTCTGCAGCAGGAACTGAAGCACCTCGATCAGAACAGATCACACGTGCTAAATCAGTAGCCATATTTAAATCCAGACTCAAAACTCATGTTTAGCTGTGCATTTACTGAATGAGCACTGTGCTACGTCCCAACTGACTGCACTGTATTTGATGTATAATCATGTTCATTCTGAACCTTTTAAATCCATTTTTAAATCCTTGTTTTATTGTTGTTATTATTTTTTATGGTTATTTTAATTCCTTTTATATGTAAAGCACTTTGAATTACCATGGACCCTTTTCACAAGAATGTGATGACGCGATGACCTTTATTTATATAGCGCTTTTAACAATACAGATTGTGTCTAAGCAGCTGTACAGCATTAAACAGGAAAATAGTGTGTCGATAATGCAGAAGGACAATAGTAAACACTCAATTTTCAGCATCATCAGCATCAAAGTTTTTTTATATTTATATATATTTTTTAAATGCATGTACATTTATAACACTATACTTTGTATTTTATCACCTTTGCATCAAATTACAAAAAACCTAGTTAAGGCTAACGCAGCGTCTATGAAAGGGATTTGACCTCGTTCTCTCTTCTGACTGCCGTTATCAGTCTCGCTCAATTTTTTCCCTTTTTTTGAAAGTCGTGAAAACACTATCGTGGAGTTTTTCTTTTTGCTATTTGAGCAACTGGGAATGCAGAAAATATATTTGTGGTACTGTCCCATTCACTGCTCTTCAAGTTAACCAAACTATGACGACTTCTGCTGCTGAGAAACCTGAGAAATGTGAAAAAGGTCTATTGTGTTAGAAATGTGCTATATATTAGTGACCCTGCAGCACAAAAGCAGTGTTAAGTCGCTGGGGTATATTTGTAGCAATAGCCAACAATACATTGTATGGGTCAAAATTATACATTTTTCTTTTATGCCAAAAATCATTAGGATATTAAGTAAAGATAATGTTCCATGAAGATATTTTGTATGTTTCCTACCGTAAATATATCAAAACTTAATTTTTGATTAGTAATATGCATTGCTAAGAACTTCATTTGAACAACTTTAAAGATGATTTTCTCAGTATTTAGATTTTTTTGCTCCCTCAGATTCCAGATTTTCAAATATTGTCCTATCCTAACAAACCATACATCAATGGAAAGCTGATTAAACGTTACCTCCTCCAGGGAGCGCAGACTCCGTCCACACGGCGCTTTATAAAGCACACCGGTGTCTTGTGCGTCAGAATCGTCGCGCGGATCGCAGTGGCGCTGGAACTGGCACAGCATGGGCGCGCGCAGCGGGCTGTGACCCAGAAAGCGGTCTGCGTGAGCGGGCAGCTGCGGGACGCATGCAGCGCTGCAGTCGTGTGGATGGTAGACGAGATGCACAGGAGACCTGGGCTCTTCAGAACAGAAGCTCGCTGCAGACGTCTGGCTGTGATCGGAGCTCGACTCCCCGTCTCTGCAGAGTCTGCCAGACATCACAACAGCAACTTACTTTCTAAAATGAAACATTTTCTGCCTTAAAAACCTCTGGAGACAGCTGTTCACACATTTGTTACCTCTCGACTGGATTGTGTAACTCTTTGAATTGTGGCACATCAAAGTCCTAGGTCGCTCGTTTACAAATTACATTTTAAAAAGTGGTTTTATATACACAGAAAGCAAGTTAAGTGTTGACTTTAATTTTCCGTTTGTGAAAATAAAATGTCAAAATAGTAAAATAAAATAGAGTGAAATAATGTTGCATCGTCATTCAGAGTAACCGATATAAAATGTAAAATTACAAAGATGTAAAAATTAATAAACATACCTATTCTGACCCGTACTTATTAAAATATATAAAAGAATAAGTGATCATGCTAAACTTTATAATATTTAAAATAGTGCTGTCAAACAATTAATCACATCCAAAATAAAAGTTTTTGTTTGGATAATAGTAGCAGAAGTATTTAATGCCATGTCAGCATCTTAGGCTATTTTCATGGCAAAAACAATTAAAAAAAATACAAGTATAAACCAGTCTTATATTACACAAGATTTTTTTACATTAACATGTGATAAAAATTCTAAAACTTTTTCTGGCGAAATTATACTAAACTCTTTAAGGTGAGTCTTCACCTTTAAGCAAAAATGCACGATTAATCATTTGACAGCACTAATTAAAATTAAAATATATAATAGAATAAGTCATCATGCTAAATTTTATTATATTTAAAATGATCAAAAACTTTGAGCACTAAAAGCTAGTGGTATGAAGGACAGTGGCAAGGATTTGTAAATATTTAAAATGACAATTAATCAGTATTTGGGGGCTGAACATTAAACAGCCTTTTAATGTCATCTTGTTCTAAATATGCCTGACAAGATTTTCAGTTATATGAACTATTGTGACACTGAATGATATTTGAGTGGGTGTCTTGTATGTATGTGATAATAGCTTTTATAAATCATTCATAGGAACTGTAACGCTAAGCTCACATTTGAGATGGTCCTACTCTGTCTTTATAAACCAGGCGCCTGTTTTCTAGTTATTCTCTCATAAATCAAACACGAATATTTGTTTGATCACTTTCCTACAGAGTCTTTGCTAACAGTGTTAAACGTTCTAACGCAGTCAGCGCTACAAAGTGTCAAATCTTGAGGAAAGGTTTTTAACTCTGTGCTGCAGGAAGGGTTCAAACGAGGTCACTTCCTGTGTGCTACACAAGTTTATACAATGTAACATTCATCAGTCGGGGGAAACTATGTTTGTGAGACAGTTAAAGATGTGTTTCTGGTAAATATAACATTATATTATGACATATGATTGGATTGTTTTAATTGTCTAATGCAGTTGAGGAGATCAGGACCTCAAAACCACTGTTATAAAGCGGATAGTTCCGGTGCTTGATTCTGATTGGCTGAGCCGCATTTGAAGCTGTTGTAAATGACTCTACAAAGTAACATACATCTTTGTTTACGTTTGTGTGTTGCTCGGCAACCACTTTGTTGCAACCACAACTGTTTCTGAGGAGCTACATTGTTTGGTGGGAGAATACTGTTTTTATTAATATCATTACACTTTATTTGCTCTGTTTTATTTTGTGAAACCTTACTACGTATAAATAACCGTTTTATAAAAGCAATAAGCCCCGTGAAGCCGTGGTTTACAGTGAATTTACCTAACAACGCCCCTTAGCTGTTATAAATTCACTGTAAACCACGGCTTCACAGGGATTATTGCTTTATTATAAGGCAGGCGAGTAGATAAAGACATGGTTTATTACTAAAATAAATGATGATAATGCCAGACCGTGTGCTGTCCTTCTGCAGAAAGTTGTCCGTCTCCACACCGTTCCTCAGGCTCTCCGGAGAACACTGAGCCTCTGATACGGTCACCGTCAGTATATCTGAACACAGACGCGACTCTCGTCAGAATGAGACCAAACACGAGCAGCGCTGCTGATCACCAGCACAAACCTTCATCAATCAGCACCTCCTGAATGCCTTCGCTCCTGAGGGAGGTGAGCTCAGACTCCAGAATGATCTTCATGGCCTGAACATACTCTGAAACAGATCAGAAAAATCACACGATCAGCTGGAACCCATTCAAATACAGAAGTTAATGCGCCTCAGCTTGAGCATTTCAGTGCATCTGTACTAGCACTCGATAGAGATCCGACAGAGGGAAACAAGACTCAATTCTAGTTTCAACATTATTTGTTCTTCAGACATTTCTCTTTAAATAGAATAAATATGTGACCCTGGAGCACAAAACTAGTTATAAGGGTCAATTTTGTGAAATTGAGATTTATGCATCATCTGAAAGCTGAATAAATAAGCTTTCCATTGATGTATGGTTTGTTAGGATAGAACAATATTTGAAAATCTGGAATCTGAGGGTGCAAAAAAATCTAAATATTGAGAAAATCATCTTTAAAGTTGTCCAAATGAAGTTCTTAGCAATGAAAAGGAAAGTTTGTTTTTAAGATGTTAAGGTATCTTTAACATTTCTTGAGTTACAGGCATGCAAACTTTGGAGAAAAAACTTGAAACGTGATTTTTCCCCCCATTTTAAACTGTTACCATTGTCATATAATGCCACAAAGATTGCTAAAGTCAGCAGATTTTACTAACAGAGCCACTGATCTCGGAGTAAAAACAACATTATGATGCTGCCATCTTTCTAAAGTCATTTTACCCTCCTGTAATTTGGCTCTGAATCTCAGGTAAAAAGTTTGACCCTCCTCTACAAAATAGTGGATTACTCAGTAAATATTCATCCATGACATTTAATATTTTGGCTTTCATCACTAAACATGTTTATCTTTCTTCAGAAAGAATACTGACAAAATAAAAAAAATTGAGCCTGGGGTTTATTTGACACGGGATGATCCGTGTGTGTGTGTGTGTGTACCTCTGTCAGTAGCAGTGTTGTGTGTACCTCTGTCAGTGTTGTGTGTGTGTGTGTGTGTGTGTACCTCTGTCAGTAGCAGTGTTGTGTGTACCTCTGTCAGTGTTGTGTGTGTGTGTGTGTGTGTGTACCTCTGTCAGTAGCAGTGTTGTGTGTACCTCTGTCAGTGTTGTGTGTGTGTGTGTGTGTGTGTACCTCTGTCAGTAGCAGTGTTGTGTGTACCTCTGTCAGTGTTGTGTGTGTGTGTGTGTGTGTGTACCTCTGTCAGTAGCAGTGTTGTGTGTACCTCTGTCAGTGTTGTGTGTGTGTGTGTGTGTGTGTACCTCTGTCAGTAGCAGTGTTGTGTGTACCTCTGTCAGTGTTGTGTGTGTGTGTGTGTGTGTGTACCTCTGTCAGTAGCAGTGTTGTGTGTACCTCTGTCAGTGTTGTGTGTGTGTGTGTGTGTGTGTACCTCTGTCAGTAGCAGTGTTGTGTGTACCTCTGTCAGTGTTGTGTGTGTGTGTGTGTGTGTGTACCTCTGTCAGTAGCAGTGTTGTGTGTACCTCTGTCAGTGTTGTGTGTGTGTGTGTGTGTGTGTACCTCTGTCAGTAGCAGTGTTGTGTGTACCTCTGTCAGTGTTGTGTGTGTGTGTGTGTGTGTGTACCTCTGTCAGTAGCAGTGTTGTGTGTACCTCTGTCAGTGTTGTGTGTGTGTGTGTGTGTGTGTACCTCTGTCAGTAGCAGTGTTGTGTGTACCTCTGTCAGTGTTGTGTGTGTGTGTGTGTGTGTGTACCTCTGTCAGTAGCAGTGTTGTGTGTACCTCTGTCAGTGTTGTGTGTGTGTGTGTGTGTGTGTACCTCTGTCAGTAGCAGTGTTGTGTGTACCTCTGTCAGTGTTGTGTGTGTGTGTGTGTGTGTGTACCTCTGTCAGTAGCAGTGTTGTGTGTACCTCTGTCAGTGTTGTGTGTGTGTGTGTGTGTGTGTACCTCTGTCAGTAGCAGTGTTGTGTGTACCTCTGTCAGTGTTGTGTGTGTGTGTGTGTGTGTGTACCTCTGTCAGTAGCAGTGTTGTGTGTACCTCTGTCAGTGTTGTGTGTGTGTGTGTGTGTGTGTACCTCTGTCAGTAGCAGTGTTGTGTGTACCTCTGTCAGTGTTGTGTGTGTGTGTGTGTGTGTGTACCTCTGTCAGTAGCAGTGTTGTGTGTACCTCTGTCAGTGTTGTGTGTGTGTGTGTGTGTGTGTACCTCTGTCAGTGGCAGTGTTGTGTGTGTGTGTACCTCTGTCAGTAGCAGTGTTGTGTGTGATCGCATATCTTAAGTGATGAAGTCTCTTCAGCAGATCATCAAACACTCCATCAACATCCACCTCCTCCCAGAAGCTCCTGGCTTGCTCTGAAACACACCACCATCTTCTGATCACTCTTCATTCATCAGATCTTCTCTGTCTTACACAATAATGCTCAGGAGTTACAGAAATCAAAACTAGACCGCAAAGCTGCGATGCTGCAGAACATCTGACCGTCTCGAACCCTTTTAAACAGTTTTCATGCAAAGATCTGCAAATGTTCTGCTCCTGGAAACTCCTCAACACTCCCTCATTCTTCAGTCAGGGTCACCTCATGAATGCCTCCTGTTCTCTAGCTGAGGTCAAAACTTATTATATTAATATTATATTATCTCAAAGTTATTACTCAGTGAGTTAGCCTCATTATTCTGATCAAAGGACCGTGCGGCTTCAAAGAGCAACTTTGTATCAGAGCAGATACTAACATCATTCTCTCCCCAGTGACTCACAGACGGCCTCTGCAGTGTTCAAACTATTTCTACAACTGTTTTCTGTAGGATAAGTGAACTACTTCATGATTTCTGATCTTACCAGTTTCAAACTCCATCATCTCGTTGTGAGGCCCAGATGTGCTGATATCACACAAACATTAACAGACAACAACACGATCAAACAACAGAACTGCTCTAGTATCTCACAAAAACGCTGATTATAAACATTATATACAAACATCGCTCTAAAAACTTACGCAAACTGAATGAAAATGTCACATTTATTACTTAAACGACTCCACCGGAGTGAATGAAAGAACGCGACATCAAAGAAGAATCATCCGCACGTGTCCGAATCGAGTGAATCGTTCTTTCAAACCAATTCAATCAAACCGAAGCGTTGTGAATCACTCCTACATTACAGAGAACCATAAACAGCACAGCATTTAATGCAAACTTTATAACCTAACTAATACGATATAGTGAACTACTAAGTGTATTTTACTCCGCTCGCGGTCTTTTGTTTGAATGAGGAGGACTCGAATTATTTAGTGATTCATTTGTTGGTGAACTGTCCGAACGAACCGATTCGCTAGAATTAATCCAATGTTTTGTTCCAGTTAAAGTCAAAAGCAATAGATCATCGATATCTCACAGTTATCGGTGGTCTTTTCGTGACGGTTTTCGACACAGTACGCCATCGTTTAATCGAATAATATTGCTGGTAATGTCAGGTTTGTGTATAAATATAAGATGTTAATTAGTTCTCTAGCATCAGTGAATCGGTGTTCGTCTTTGTATGTCTGTGTGTAACATCACATGTGAAACTAGCCGCAAGTTTATTTTATTTCATTAACACAGTAAACAGATGCCGATTTAATATTAACATGCATAACGCGCACATGTATATGGCACGTGACGGGTTTTTGTATGTTATGTATCATGTACTTCCGGTGAGGTTTTGTAACAATGATTATGCGCTTATTATGCAATTATTCAGTTGTACAGTAAGACCGCAGCGGATCTCATTATTTACAGTATTTACATCTCTTCAGTCATATTGCTCGTGTTCAGTGTGTGTTTGTGTTTTAAATCTGCCATGCTGTACGCCGATACTGTACTAGTTACTCTTTAGTATTAATAATAGTCGAAGATACTTTCCTGTTTATTACTGTGACGCTGCTTTGAAACAGATGTGCTATAAAAACAAATGTGAATTGACTTAAATTACTGATTATTGATCCCGCATTTATTTATTTTGATTTTACAGTAGAACAGTATGTGTAGTAACTGGTATTTTGGGTAAACCATATTTAGTATATATATATATATATATATGAAGAGTTTATTTGCAAAAGCACAACTTTTTTTTTTTTTCAAAAATCATGTTTTTTATTGTTATCACGTTTTTATTGTGTTTTATTGTGTTAGTTAGCTGTAGTTTTTTTGTTATTTCACTAACCTAATCAAAATAACCCAACTGCAGTTTGATTGAGATTAATTGGAATGCACGATGAAAAAAACAAGATTTTTGAAAATTGTTAAAAACAGAGCTATGTTTTTGCAAATGAATTCTTACAATGAAAAAAAATGATATTATATTATATAAAAATGACAATGTTATATTGAAAAGGTTGAGAAACACTGTAAACAGAGGAGAGCGTGTTATTCATTGACTCTGGACAGATCAGTGCTCTACATCAGAGTAACACACCTCACACCTGCTGGTCTGGACTCAGAATCACAGCAGAGACAGCAGCTTTACTTCCAAGATCACACATTTACTGCATGCTAGACAGACGACAGAATGACCAAAACTGACATTAGATGCCATGAAAACTAAATAGAAATATAAAAAACCTAATAAAGATGACAAAACACATAACAAAATGAATAAAACTGACATGAAATGTTATGAAAATTAAATAGAAATATTTAAAAAAAAACTAATAAAAAATGTCAAAAGCGCTTAACAAAATGACTAAAAGTTATATAAAATTTAATGAAAACGAAATAGAAATATGAAAAACCCGATGGAAATAACAAAAGCACAAAAAATTACCAAAACTGACATAAAATGTAATGAAAACTAAATAAAAATATAAAAACCTAATAGAAATAACAAAAACACATAACAAAATGAATAAAACTGACATGAAATTTTATGAAAACTAAATAGAAATATAAAAAAACTCTATTTAGACTCTATATAAAAAATGTCAAAAGCGCTTAACAAAATGACCAAAAGTTACATAAAATGTAATGAAAGCTAAGTAGAAATATAAAAAAAACCAAAAATTTGAAAAATAACGAAAGCACATAAAATGTAATGAAAACTAAGTAGAAATATAAAAAAAAACTAAAATTTATAAAAAATGGCAGAAGCACGACAAAATAACTCAAACTAAAATTAACTGAAAAATAAAAGCTAATTCAACATATTAATAAAAACAGTAAAATTATACGAAGAGTTTATTTGTAAAAATAGATAACTCACTGCAGCACTTAAGCCTGCACTGCAAAAAATACTTTCTTGTTTTCTAGTATAAATATCTAAAAATTCTTAGATCAAGATGCATTCACTAGAGAATCAAAATGATGAAGATATTTAGTCTTGTTTGTCTGAAAAACTAAATGAAGTGCATTTTGCTTAAAATGTAAAATATCTGCCGGTGAGGTGAGAAAAATAATCTTGTTTTAAGAGTAATTTCCTTACATCACCGTCAGATATTTTTACTTGTTTTAAGAAAAATGCACTTTATTTAGTTTTTTCCCCTGGAAACAAGACTATCTTACATCATTTTGCTTCTCTAGTACATGCATCTTGATTTAATAATTTTTTGATATTTTGACTAGAAACAAGACAAAAATACTACACAAGTTAAGCCTTTTTTCTGCAGTGAACTGTTCTCGGATTAATGTTTGGCTGTTTGCTGACTTCATTTAAACATTTTTGTTGTTGTTTTGTCATTATTGTTAGTTATTTGTTGTACTGTGATTTAAAGAGCTCATCTTTTTAACATTTGTTGACTGTCACCTGAAGGAGTGGATTCTGGATTCATCATGACCTTCATCAAGATATTAATTATATGGGCTCTTGTGTGATTATTATATCAAGTTATTAATCAGTATTTAACCTTCTAGATTGTTTGCTGATGGAATAAGTCTATGTTTTCTCAGGGTCACAGTGCCATGTCACAGGAGGTCTAGACGAGTGTTCTAGACATCTGTGATATTGATATGTCTGCATAATAGATATTAAAGTGAATTCTGCTGTATTCTGTCTTTTACCTGCTAAGATGCTAGCTTCATATTGTGTGTGTAATGAACCATACTGATAAGAGCTAGGCAAACTTGAAGTACAGATAAGTGTTCGGTGTGTGTGTGTGTGCGTGCTTGTGTGTGTGTGAGTCAGAGAGAGAGAAAGAGAGGGTGTGTGTGTGTGAGAGAGAGAGAGAGCGTGTGTGTGTGTATGTGTGTGTATGTGTGTGTATGTGTGTGTATGTGTGTGTATGTGTGTGTATGTGTGTGTATGTGTGTGTATGTGTGTGTATGTGTGTGTATGTGTGTGTATGTGTGTGTATGTGTGTGTATGTGTGTGTATGTGTGTGTATGTGTGTGTATGTGTGTGTATGTGTGTGTATGTGTGTGTATGTGTGTGTATGTGTGTGTATGTGTGTGTATGTGTGTGTATGTGTGTGTATGTGTGTGTATGTGTGTGTATGTGTGTGTATGTGTGTGTATGTGTGTGTATGTGTGTGTATGTGTGTGTATGTGTGTGTATGTGTGTGTATGTGTGTGTATGTGTGTGTATGTGTGTGTATGTGTGTGTATGTGTGTGTATGTGTGTGTATGTGTGTGTATGTGTGTGTATGTGTGTGTATGTGTGTGTATGTGTGTGTATGTGTGTGTATGTGTGTGTATGTGTGTGTATGTGTGTGTATGTGTGTGTATGTGTGTGTATGTGTGTGTATGTGTGTGTATGTGTGTGTATGTGTGTGTATGTGTGTGTATGTGTGTGTATGTGTGTGTATGTGTGTGTATGTGTGTGTATGTGTGTGTATGTGTGTGTATGTGTGTGTATGTGTGTGTATGTGTGTGTATGTGTGTGTATGTGTGTGTATGTGTGTGTATGTGTGTGTATGTGTGTGTATGTGTGTGTATGTGTGTGTATGTGTGTGTATGTGTGTGTATGTGTGTGTATGTGTGTGTATGTGTGTGTATGTGTGTGTATGTGTGTGTATGTGTGTGTATGTGTGTGTATGTGTGTGTATGTGTGTGTATGTGTGTGTATGTGTGTGTATGTGTGTGTATGTGTGTGTATGTGTGTGTATGTGTGTGTATGTGTGTGTATGTGTGTGTATGTGTGTGTATGTGTGTGTATGTGTGTGTATGTGTGTGTATGTGTGTGTATGTGTGTGTATGTGTGTGTATGTGTGTGTATGTGTGTGTATGTGTGTGTATGTGTGTGTATGTGTGTGTATGTGTGTGTATGTGTGTGTATGTGTGTGTATGTGTGTGTATGTGTGTGTATGTGTGTGTATGTGTGTGTATGTGTGTGTATGTGTGTGTATGTGTGTGTATGTGTGTGTATGTGTGTGTATGTGTGTGTATGTGTGTGTATGTGTGTGTATGTGTGTGTATGTGTGTGTATGTGTGTGTATGTGTGTGTATGTGTGTGTGTGTGTTGACATCTCTCTCTGTGTTAGATGAGAAGACTGTCCTGGAGAAGTTCATCATCTGACGCCATTCTGATCAAGAATAGGTCTCTGGCCTAAATTACCATGCTTTGAATTTTGACGTCCATATGTGGAGATTTACTAAGTTATCTAGGTTTCGGCCAATCAGGATCTTCCTACCCTATGCATTGATGTAATTAGTGACCTCTGTTAGAGTATAATTACTGGAGTTTCAAGCATGTACACAGAGCGGCCCACAAACTCCTTGCGAGGGTTGAAGCTGACTTCTGCGAATGTAACTGCAAACTATTTTCTTCAGTCAATTTTTCTTCAATTGACTGCATCTCTGACTCCCGGTCTTCATTCATCAAACCTGAGCTGTCCATCAATAAATGGGGGGGAAAGTAACTGGATTTATTTGACTTATTTGAAAACGTAACTCAGATATTTTCTTGTAAATTAAAAAGTAATGCGTTACTTCACTAGTTACTTGACAAAGCTAATCTGATTACGTAACTCGCGTAGATATTTGAAAGTAGTTACCCAACTTGAGTCTGTGCTCCAAAGCACTCAAGCTTTACCACAGCAAGACGGAAGTTTCATTTATTCAGCAAAGATGAGTTAAATTAATAAAGTGACAGTAAAGACTTATATTGTTAGAAAATCTATTTAGAATAAATGCTTTCCTTTTATACATTTTTATTCAT